GCCTTAAAATCAGGCACTGTGAATCCTTCAACGCTTCTTTTCTCAAAATGTCTTTGACTATTCTAGGTCCTCTGTACTCTCATACAAATTTTCTAATTAGCTTGTACAGTTCTACCATACACACACAAAATAAAGTCTGCTGGCGTGCATTTTGATTGGCATCGTGTTGCATTTATAGATCAATGTGAGGAGAAGTGACTTCTTAGCAATATTGCGTTCTCTGGCCTGTGAATGCAGTATATAGTTCTCCTTTCTTTAAGTGGTCTTTTTAAAATTTTCTTCTGCAAGATTTTTTCATTTTCATGTATAGATCTTGTACTTTATAAAATACATTTTATAATGTATTTTTATATATCCATCTTGTACTTTGGGCCTTTGTTTAAATCAGTAGTTTCAGTAGCTTTGTTGACAGAAAGTGGTTTGGGGTCTTGGATTGTGCAGAAAGGAATTCAAGGCAAATCACAGTGCAGTGAGAAGAGATCATTAATTGAAATCTACTCAGCTTCGGAATAAGGCATCCTCAGAAAACAAGAGGAGTGTGCCGTCTTTGTTTTTTGTTGTTGGTGTTTGTGTGTGTGTGTGTGAGGGTGTGTGAGATAAGGTCTCCCTCTGTTGTTTAGGCTGGACTGCAGTGATGTGATCATAGCTCACTGCACCTTGACCCTCCCAGGCCAGGTGATACTTCCACTTCTGCCTCCTGAGTAGCTGGGACTACAGGCACACACTACCATGCCCAGATAATTTTTGTATTTTTTGTAGAGATGCGGTTTCACCATGTTGCCCAGACTGGTCTTGAACTCCTGGACTCAAGTGATCCACTCACCTCAGCCTCCCAAAGTACTGGGATTATAGGTGTGCGCCACCATGCCTATAATGGCCCAGCCCATCTTAGTTTTAAACTCTTCTTATATAGGGGTCTTATCTTTGTAAAGGCTAAGCTAAGCTGTGTCTACGTGTGGGTGGGCTGATAGCATGGCAAAATTTACTCTTCTGTTGATTTAAAGAAAATTATCCTTGTATTTTTAGTGAATAAGTACATCAAAGCCTAAATATAATTATCTTTAAATCATATATTGTTATGGATATTGAGACATCTGGACTTTCCATTGTTGTAAGATTGTGTCCTTTTAGGTACATTCAGGCTGTTTTCTCAACTGTAGACATCTTATGATTGTGGTTTGTGACTGGCAAGGAATGTGCCTTGTTAGTTTTAAGATGGAGTTTATTTTAAAATGATGTCACCTTGGCTCTTCTGTGCTCCGATTTCTCTAACAGCTTTGTTATATATTTCTTAGGCTGGGTGCAGTGGCTCACAACTGTAATCCCAACAACTTTGGGAGGCCAAATCTGGCAGATCACTTGAGCCCAGGAGTTTGAGACCAGCTCCAGCAACACAGCAAGACCTTGTCTCTACTGAAAATTCAAAAGAGTTAGCCATGTATGGTGTTGTGCACCTGTAGTCCCAGCTACTCGGGACACTGAGGTTGGGAGGTTTGCTTGGTTTGCTTGAGCCCAGGAGATTAAGGCTGTAGTGAGCCATAACCACACCACTGCAGTTGAGCCTGGGTGACAGGGGTGAGACCCTGTCTCAAAAATAAATAAATAAATAAGTATTTCTTAAGATTTTTCTACATAGACAATCATGTCTTTTTGGATGAAGTCAGTTTTACTTACTCCTTTTTGTTTGTTTCGGAGTTTTTTTGATACAGGGACTCACTGTGTTACCCAGGCTAGAGTGCAATGGCATGATCATGGCTCAGTATACCCAGGCTCAAGTAATCCTCCCACTTCAGCCCTCTGAGGTCTTTGGCCTCCCTAAGTGCTGGGTTTATAGGCTTGAGCCACTATACCTAGCCTACTTATTCCTTTTTAATCTCTGCCTTTAATTTCCTTTTCTTGCCTTATTGCCCTGGCTAGAATCTCCATTTCAGTGTTGAAAGGAAATGCTGATAACAGACCCTCATCTTCTTCTTGAACTTAGGGGGAAAGCACTCAACCTTTTACCTTTAAGTATGATGTTAGCTGAGATTTTTTGCAGATCTTCTGCAGGAAAGTGTTTTTAATTGGCTATATTGCTGCCCAAATCTATTTGAGGCTTTTTAGGAAAAGAAGGGTGAATGAATATGGGGAAGGTACTTCTTTATGCATTCAGCTCTGTGTGTTATCTGTGTGATGCTTTATCTGGACACAGGCATATCTTTTAATTCAAAGAGCTAAGTATGGGCTGTTGTTGATATTAAATGCTACCATGTGTGATCAGGCATCTTTATAAACAGCATGCTTGGGAGGGGCAGGTTTTGCCAGGGAACTAACTCACTCTCAGTCCATTGGGAGGCAGTGTAGCCCATGGTTAGGGATGTGGGCTCAGAGGCCTGGGTGCCCTGTTCCAACGCAGCTCTGCAACCCTGGGCAAGTTAGTGAACATTTCTGTGTTGCAATTTCCTACCTATAAAATGAAGATCTTGATAAAATCTACTGCCACAGCTTCTGAAGACTTAGTAAGCAAATACAATTAAGTGCTTAAAACACAGCCTGTCTTCTGGTGCATTTTTAAGGAGGACTTAGTTTGCATAAGGCCGTATTTACATACAGGTTTTCGGTAGCAGGCTTACTGTCTGAAGCAAAGAACAACTATATCATTTTTTAAATCCTCTCCTGGCACTTCATATTAAGGTTTTTTAAGATGAGAGGGTTGATTTCTATTGTTTTACAATATTGTTTGTCTAATACATCTATTTTAAAAGCTTGTGCATTGCATGGGCGATTAGAGTGTTATGATGGTTGCCAGCAATATTCTCGAAGTTAATGCTGTCTCTGTACTTGGAGGCCAAGCCAGAATTTGACCTTCTGATGTGCTCATTTTGACTACTAGACAACAGAATGGTGTGTAGAGCCTACACTGCTCCATCAGTCCATTGGATGTGAGGACCACTGTGAAGCCCCCAGTCGGCTTTAGCCTCTTATTTCCTACAAATAAATTCTAATTCAAGGGGACAGAAGCTTCTCAGAGTTGGTTTCCTATTCTAGGAATGCTGCCTTTCCATCAGCATGCCCCAAGACCTGGGTGCTCTCCTTCCTGCCTGGGGTGGGTCTGAAGGTGGGGCCAGGGAGCCTTTTGCCAGCAGGGTTGAGGTTGCACTCGGCCTGTTCCAATGTCATACGGGAGCACCAAGATATTGACATATAAGGAAAAGCACTTAGGAGCTGGCTGGCAGGGCTTCAAGGGGGCTTCCTCGTCACTTGAACTTGTTTTGTTCCCCCCCCACCCTTTTTCCTCATACTCTTTGAGGAGTGTAGTCACAGCAAGCTTTGCACAGGGCTTTCGGCAAGGTTTCCCACCTGACGTCCCTTCTTCAGGCAGGGGTCTGCATTGTACAGCTAGTTGTCTGTCCCTGGTTTTCTTTTGATCAGGCCAACGAAAATCTTACTCTACACATTGAGTTAAAAAAAGGTAATTAAAAAGTGCCTTTGATTCTATTTGTACACATCAGCACAGTGTTTTATTCTTCTCTGCTGCCCATGCAATGGTGGGGGATATTTGGTGCATGATTAGGAGATTAAACCATATTAATTGGGATTTCCTCCTGGTGTCCTTTACAGTGGGATGAGTAGAGCTTCAGCATCTCCTTCCAGAACTTCCAGGAGTGTCTAGCCAGCTTTTGTCCTCCCCCTGCCAAGATGTTCTCAGGCTGTTCCCTCAGAGTTGCATGCATCTGCCCACACTCTTTCAGTTGCAACTGTGACACCAGCACAGAGAGATATTGATTCAGGGAGCAGACATTATCCTTTCCCTCGATTGTCATGAGATGTCCCAGTTAGGTGTGGAACCCGAGGCGCCCATGACATTGTCCTCCACACTGTGCCTGCAGCCCCAGGTGATGTTGCTGAATTATACATGGGTAGAGGCTTTCGGCAGCGCTGTTTTTCCACTGGAGCACAAAGCACTGTGTTACAGGAGGGATTTTACATGTGGATCTCCGGGCCCTGCAGAAACCGCAGAGCTACAGGGAAGCAGGTCATTATTTAACTGAGAGAGCCCATCAGGGTGTGAGTTTAGATGAGAAGCAGATACATTGAGTGTAACTTTCTTTTTGAGTTATTTCCTTGAGAAAAAAAAAAAGCTAAAAGTTTAAATATTAAACCCATGCGGTTTTCAAAACAAAGAAAGGCAAGAAGGAATAAAGAGAAGTCTTACGGGCCACATTTAACTCTCCTCTCTGATCAGAAAAGAATCTGAGACCTTCACCTCCTCCTAAATGACTGTAATTACTAGTTTTGTGGTTTGGTATCTTTCTGTTCTATGCATCTTCTTCATTCTTATTTTACTCCAGTTATATTAGTGTTTCCTCACTTACCTTCAACTAAAACAGAAAGCAAAGAAATAAGACTCCCTTCATTAGAGTGATTGAAAGCTCATCTCGCACAGAGTAGATGCAGAAAAGCTATTTGTCAGATGCATAAATGACATCCCTTCGTTGTGGATCCTGTCTCTGGGTTTATGTTAATTCCTCACATACATCAAACATGGCGGCTACCCGGTGCCAATTCTTGAGACATAGCAGATGTTCAAGAAATGCTTTGGAAACACATGGAAACTCTTGACTGCAAGGGAAAGAAAGAAGGAAGGTGGGCTGGTCATGTTGAGGATTAGATTCAAGTGGTTCGCTCTGGCATTTTGAATTCTTCAGGCAGTAAGTGACCCAATCAGAACAGCCTCACTTCATCTGCGATGTGTCCCCCTTCACGTGTTTCTCCAACTTGTGACCTCCATTAGTATAAATTAATGTAAGCATGGAAACAGGACTTGCTCTACACGTATGACATTTATTCATCTAACAAGCAGCTTCTGCAGGTCACAGAGGCCAGCCTACAGAAGGTTCTGCACTATGTCCATGCTTAATGTTGTACTGAACATTTGGATATTTGCCATCTGTCTTGCTACTAAGTTAGACTCTGTCGCAATATCCTCAGTGGTGATTTTTCTTCTGTCAATTGGACAGGTGATGACCAAGAAGGAAGATTTTTTCCATGCCTGGAACTCATGTCTGCACCACGTGGCTTCTCTGTCTCTGGCACACACTCACCGAGGTCAGTTGGTTCCTCTTGAATATTTGTAATTGAGTGACTCAGGGGTCTGCAGGTCCCTGAAGACAGCTCTGCAGGGAAAGGACAGTCCCCACACACAGGGAAAGGACAGTCTTTGTGTTGAATACAGGGCCCCAAATGACTTACAGAGATGTGAAGCTTGTGGTAAATCAACTTTCAGCTTACTAGAAACATTGACCATATGACACCCTCAAAGCCTGATGCTAAACCAGTTGGGAACTGCTCACTTAGCACAACCTGACAATCACACACAGCACTTGAGAGGAGCCAGTTGGCAAAATGCCTGGCCCTCAGAAGTGGCCCTCTACCCGACCACGATCTCATTCCTAAATGGGAGGGGTGTGCACTCAGATAAAGTGAGGGCGTTTTAACAGGGGCCCTGCCTGAAGAATTTTAAGTACCAGAATTACTTAAACCTAATCCTCAGATTAGCAGGAAAGTGGGTCAACCTTCTAAAGCAGTGGTTCTCAACCAGGGGCAATTTTGCAATGTTTGGATACTTGGCAATGTTTAGAGACATTTTTGGTTGTCACACTGAGAGGGGCAGTGCCACTGGTGTGTAGTGGATGGAGGCCAGGGATGCTGCTGAACATCCTACAGGGCACAGGGCACTCCTCTGCAACCAAAAATTATCCAGCCCCAAATGACAGTAATGCTGAGACTGAGAAACTTGAATATTCATTTTGGCTTCAGTAGACCAAAATAGCAAAATAAAATGAAACACTTAAAACCAAGTGAGATCCATGACAGCTTATCATTGAAATTATTGTTTAATTTCAAGAATCCTCTTTTTGTTTATCATCATGCCCTGACTGCGTGGGGGGAAAGTGTTAAAAGAGAAAGGCCAGGCATTTGCCGAGTTGATAGCTTTATGGGGTTTTCAGCACACTGGGTCGCTGCTGACCCTGGGAGGGCTGGGTCTGGTCCCTCCACAGCTTGCGTCTCGGGCACAATCTCATGGGGTAGAGATGGGGGCTCCTCAGTGGGATCAGGGCAGGTGTTACGGCCAGGAACCTAGGAACGTGCCTGCATCCAACACAACCTCCCAGCTTGGCCATCTGCCTTCCTCCCTAACTGGGCAGTCCCAAAAGTGCCTGTGATTCACTGCCATGTGACTATAGCTGCAGGAAGGTATGGGAGCCTTTCTAAGAGCTCTGATGAGAGCTGGAATTGAATGGGTGGTTTGGGCTCAAACTGGGCCCAGCTTCTTCCTTCCTTCTGAGGACCAGCTCTTGGGACCTTGCACCTTTGGATGAGCCTCCTAACAGAGGGCTCTGGAGTAAATGTGCTGAGAGCACAGGTTTCTCATAGGGACGGGAAGCAGGGGGTTCACGGGAATACCGCCCCAGAGACTGGTCTCTTCACACAGTGACCACACTCTGTGATGACCATGACCACATTAGCCTTCCTGATTCTGATGGAGTTCCACTTTCTGCTTCCTGGGACATGGAGGGGAGCAAGGAGAGGGACCAGGAGCATCAGGGACAGGATGAAAGGTTCCCTCCCCTATGGGTCATGAAGCCACAGGATTGGGTTCCCTCATTTACAGACTCAAAAATTTTAATTTATTGCCCACCCACAGTATACTAGGCTTAAGGAAACTGACTTATCTTAATTGAACTCAAAAGTAAGTAATATATAAATCTGAATGCCAGTTTATTCATAAGAAATAAAATCCAACACCAAGGCATCAGTACACGCCCTATCTGTTCTATGGGCATATCTTCAGACAGAATTCAATTATAATCAGGTCACACTACCAGGACAGCTCATGCCCTCAGGCCTGACTGGAGATCTGAGTGACCCCTGTGACCTGCTCCAGACCCTGGAGCCCAGAGGGTCTGTACTTCCCTGGACTATCTTGATGCACCCAGCATCAACCTCACTCCTTTAAGAAATTAACGTAAACCATGCTGCTTCTGTTGGTGGGTTGTTTCTTCAGATTTGCTGATCAGCCTGAAACATGTCTGGGGTATGAAACAGCACTTGAGACACCCGTTTGAAGGCGAGTGTGTCTCGGGCCTTCTCATTCACTTTGAGTAGACTTATGCTGGCTTCACTCTCAGGGATGTTTTGGCCCAAGCTCCTCCCTCTGGGCCCTTGTGTACTGACCACAAATATCATCCTTCCAGGGGCATGAGAATGAACTCTGTGGGCTCCAGGTAAAAACCTTCTGAACATTCAGGGAAGTGAAAAAGGGAGGTGGAAGTCAAAGAATCACTCCACAATTAACTTCACCTTAGAAACGCGATCGTTCAGGCTGCACAGCCTGGTTGCTGAGAGCATAATGGAGCTTAGTGAGGACTGAGGATGTGGGCTCTGGAGTCAGGTCACCGGGTTCTGATCCTGGCTTTACTTCTATCACATGTGTGACTGTGAGTGGGTTACACACCCTCTCTGAGTTTCGGTTTTCTCCTTGTTTACAAAATGTAGAGAACATGATATTTACCTCGTCGGCACAATGCCCCGAAGCTCTTACCTTTGTATCTGGCTCATCGTTAGCGTTTTAATAAAACCTTTTTGTTACTGCTAATCACTACTCTGTGAAAACCTTAGTTCTTATCACCAGAGTAGAACATTTCAACCTTGTCCCTTAAAGGAAAGAAAAAGAGGAGAAAAATGAAACAGATTAAGTCTGAATGTATGAGGTCTTCACACCAGGAGGAAATATTAAGGATTTGATGATGCCACAGTACAAAATAAATCCAGATAAACTCTGAACCCTTTATTGGTGCATAACCACAGTAGCACAAATGATTATTTTCAGGAAATTGGCTTCTCGTTCAGTGTCAGATAAAGAGGACTTAGAAGTATAAAGAAAATAATGGAAGAAAACCCATAAGAATTGGTTTAATGACAGCCTTTAGAAGGCCCAGGAATGTTTTGAAATCGAGAAATCCATCTGTAATGAGGAGGTCTGTACAGATACAGGACAGGTCCTAAAGATAAGGAGGCACTGAACATAACACTAGCCAGCAAAATTTCACCAGCGTGTCATTACATTCAAATGGCATGTTACCCTCTGGCAGAGGCCTCCAGGGCACGGGAGAAAATAGAAGGAGCCCATCTGTCTTCAGTGACCAGACCTGGATGTCGCCTTTGGATCCTTTCGAAGGAAGAGAGCATAGGAAGGAAGAGAAGGATCAGTCTGTTAAAGCACAGTCTTAACATCACCCCAGATGACAATGAACTCAGAATTTGTCCATTTTTATTAGGAACGAATGGAAACAAGCCTTCTGGCATCTGTCTCCATTTGTCACCTGAAGACTAGGGAAAACCATGTTTGAAATAAAAACATTAAGCAGTCTCTAGTGGTTTCTGTAGTGGGATGTAACTATTACAATGATAAATCGTTAGTTTTCTGTGATACACATTTTTATCTTGCCCTAGAAAGTGCAGTTCTGAAGGGTGGTGCTGTCTGAACCCCTAAGGTTGTACCAATCATAAACAAAAAAGGGAGAAAGGAGGCACTTTTCCATCCACCACTTTCCAGCTCTGTGCAGAACTGTCTCTTGCTTTTCTCATTCTCGAAGCATGTGAGTAGTTTTCATTATGCAGCGGAAAGTCCCCTTTCTGGTTCTTAACAAAGTGACTAATAATTTAGAATGTTCACATTAAGAGCAGGTTGTAATTATAACTAGAATATATAATAATGTGGATTTCTGCCTATCGGGGATTAATTTCAGACTCCTCTCAAGGATGTATTTGTTTTGAAACAAGACTTTCTTTGTTAATAAAAACATGATTGCATGCATTATTAAAGCATTATTTCTGTATTTTATCCATCAGTGCTTGTTCCAGTATTCTTCCTGGGGTCAGCTGGGGCTATTCTTTATGTAAACAACATTCACCTCGATTTAGTTTTGGCTTTGGCATTCATCTTCTAGGAAATGATAGGACCATCCCTGCCACCTCCTTGAATGTGCATTACATTATGTGAGCTCGGGTAAACAAAATGCTCAACATCAACCACTAGTCCTGAGTGAATCAAGGTACTTGCCCCCTTTTACTCAACTAAACCCAAGATTGTGGAGGGCAAACCCGACTTGGGGTAGAACCAGAAGTTGCAAGTCAGCACTTCTCATTCTTTGACTCTTGGGTTTCTGTGGTGTTTTTCTGTTACTTCTGGAGGTGGAGGCCTGGAGGGGAGGGGAAGAGTGGGAGGACCAGAGATGCTAGTTGGCTGTGACACCTGTGTGCCGTCCTCTCCCCCAGCACCCATCTGCTGGTGTGTCTAGCTTTCGAGCAGTCTCATATGGCCCCACACAAGTGGCCTGAGGGAGGGAGAGAGCCTTGGGCACCACTGCTCCTGCTTCTGCCCCTGTCTTTGTCTAGCACCCATTAAATATGTGGGCAGTGGAAGCCAGTAAGAAGGTCTGTTGAGTCAAGAATAGGCAGATGGAATCCACTGCTGGATCTCAGAGGCCCCAACATTGGGGAAGGGAAGGAATATCCCCTGGCTTCATTTTCTCTACCTCAATTGCATGGCTGAATCCTAGGCCTATGAGCACTTGCTGTGGGCAAAAGGTGAGCCTAGGAGTTGAGGGTCACCATTTCACAGAGCGTGTGATGGCTGGGAGCAGCCTGGGAAGTCAAGGGAGTTCAGGGACACTGGGTCTCTGAAGTTTGAGGTCTGGAAATTCAGGAGCTGGCAGGACATGGAGGAACCCGAAAGTGATAACTCACCTGACTACACTCAAGCACAATATTGCTTCGAGGGAGAGAGATGAAGGTGGTGGCCGATTGGAAGTCCGAGGGAGGTGCCTGGTGAAACGGAGACTGGCAGAAGTAGGAGCGTGGAGGTTCCTCGTGCTGACATCAAGGAGGGCTCTTAGATAAAAAACATGAGGACATTTGACTGGATGGAAGCACTGTAGTATGTAAAAATTTGCCACGTGTCATGGCTCATTGGCCAAGAGACATGGGAAGAGAAGGTTGAAGAACGCAGAGCACCCGGCAGGATAGTTGCTCTGCGGAGAGCT